TGCAGTACTACACCAGCACATCTGCTTGGCATCCTGGACCCGAGCTGACCTCTTTGGACAGCCTTGGGACATGGCTCAGGGTCTGCACACAGAGCCACTGAGCAATGTGAACTGCAGGTTGAAAATAAGAACTTGTACCAAGAACCTCAGGCCCATACAAGAAGAAGGAGATGCAAATTAGAGAGTGCAGAGCTGGTAAGCAGAAATATTCAGCCTCACTACATTGTATGTGCTAACACAATTGCCCCACTCCCCTTCTAAATCACATACAGTTTATAACTCATTGGTTTGACTTTTTTTATTATTTTCTCCTTCGAATGTTCATTGCAGTAGCTACAATGTGAGTTGTTGTTTTCCTAAGTATTCAGTATAACACTCAACATGCCACCAAATGCATAGCTATATTGGGTATGTTTTCTCTCCCTCCAGGCTGGAGGAGTGAGCTGCACTATAATAACAGTTGCATCTGCAGCAGTCTTTCTATGCCTTATTGTAAGCTATTTCAGAATTATCTGGGCTCTTGACAGACAGCTTCTCCATGGCTGTGCGTGATATCTGAAGTCCCTAGGATATCAATCAACACAAATAAGAAGAGGATTTCATGCCTACAGTGGAAAATATCAAGGAGCACCTCTCTGCCTGGAGCACCTGGCAATCTGCAGACACTGTAGACTCAGGCCACTTCAGGAGCAGAACCCATTTTATCTAATTTTAGAGGTTAAAGACAGCAAATGAGCCGATGCTGGTTCTTCAATTCTTTACTTTAGTCAGTAATGAGGAGAACATGCAGAAAGTGATCTGTCCTAAACCACAGAACAAGGTATGTAAGAGGTACAGAAAAGCTTCTTGTTGTTTTCTTGCTGTCTGCAGAGGGAAGGTGGATAATAAGGTTTAATAGAAAGCTGTTAAAAGCCAAGATGGAGTTAGACCTGAATGTGCAGGCTCACCTATCTTCCCAGCAGAACCAGCCTTAGGAGAGAGCTGTGTTCAGGCTTTTTCTTGAAGGAGATGTTGGATCAGCTACAAACAGGACCAGAGAGGCAGCAAGGGCAGCCCAGTGCTCCCAGTCACCCCCTGGTCTTGTCTGACAGAGGGGATGTGTTTGCTGAGAGGACTTCCAGCGATGGATTGCTTTGTTAGTGATGAAAATTAATGGGAATTCTGTCCTTTACAGCAGGCATTTTTACCTGTTGTTTGTATGTGTGTGTGTTCTTGCTTTGAATATGCAGTGGGTGGCAGGTATGGATGTGGTGCAGGCTTAACGGGCAGGTGAACTGCAACAAGAGCTGAAAAAGTACACTGATGCAGAAAATCCTGTCATACTGAGTGCATCCGTCACGATGAAGTGATATGGATTTATATGGGGGAAGACGAAAGGATTGTCGCAGCAGAAAATGTATTGAAACTCCAAGAATGACTCAGATTGCTTGAGTCAGGGGGGATCTGGTACTGCAAGACTTTGACTTTTGCAGGAGAAATCACATTATTCAGTCTGTGGCTTTTTGCATCTAATCTAAATGTATTGATACTCCATTGCAGTTCATTCCTCCTTTGATTTATATGTTCCTCTGGAGAGCGCGACTCACTTAATTGCCTGACCCACAAGACACTTAACTAGTTTCTTTTTTTTCCCTGATCTGACTCATGAATTTTATTTTTCAGCTCGTATCCATTTCACTTTTTCTTCACCTTGGGACTGGGCAAGAACTTTTCTCTACTGGACTGTAAAACACCTACGACATAGAGTCTATATAGCCTTGGTGTATATCACACAGATACACAGCGTGCTCTTAAGGTTAGAGGTAGTAGCTTCAAATTGCACCAGGGGAGGTTCAGGTCGAGTATTAGGAAAAAGAGTAGTGATGCAGTCGCACAGCCGCCCAGGGAGGTGAGGGGTCACCATCCCTGGAGGTGTTTGAGAACTGTGGAGATGTGGCACTGAGGGACATGGTTATGGGCATGGTGGGATGGGCCGGGATTGGACTTGGGACCTTGGGGGTCTTTTCCAACCTTAATGATTCTGTGACAGAAGAGTCTTGTCACACTGAAAGAAACACAGTGCAGTGATGCATTGTACAACTGAAGATGGTAAAAAGTATGGCATTTCTTGTAGGAAAGCTGAATCTATCAATGAATATGGTCAGTGGGACACATGGAACTTATATAACACTTATCATATGTAAAGGAAACCATAAATAAATGTTAAGAGAATCCCTTAGCTGAACTTCTGTTTGTTCTAGGTTTTGTGCAGAGGTGCACTTGCTAGAAGAATTATAAATTTTGTGCTAAAAGTCTTGCTCGTATTGGAAAACTATGTACACCTTCCATTTCCTTCCTGAAATGCAGTGGTGTGTTATTTTATACTCTAACAAGCAAAGAGCTCAGAGCTTCTTCTGTGATAATGCAACTTGCATTAACTGGGAATGAAACCTCATTTTTCCTTGTCTGTTTTTAGACAGGACATGTTTAAACTATCTGTGCATGTAAAATTTTCTTGGCTCCAGAAAAATTATGATTCTACTCATTAGGGTAATTAGGATACTATTCTGCTCATTAGGGTAGCTGTCAAAAACACTTGTTGAGAGTTTATGTTCCCTTCCTCAGCAGCTGTTTGGATCCCTTTGCAATGCAGGTTAAGGTTATTGTGATCACCTGCTTTCGTGTCACATTGAGAATCAATATTATTTGACTTGGAATTAATGAAACCATTTCTATGAAGAAGGATGTGCATAATTTGGAACATTAATGTGCTGGCAGATGATGTTCTCTTCCTGCTCGTTTCTCCATTATACTATCCCCAGGAGCCAAATCTTGGCTCAGCTAAATGCAGCGAGGGATGGCTCTGTTCTTCTGAATGTCTCCTGTTACAAGGTTAGAGACAGAGAGAAAGCTCTAGACACAACAGTGATGAAAAAGATACATGCCAGAGGGATGTTTTACCATAGTTTTCAAATAATCTAACAGGCCTTAGACACATGCAGCAAACTGAATCAACCTATTAAGAAGCATGTTTCAAATTGCTGTGTACCTCTCAGAAATGTTCTCGTGGTTTGCAGCCTGCTCAGAAGTGAGAGGCAGACCTACAAAATAAGGTAAAGTAAGACATCAGTGCCCTCTGGAGCTGAGAAGCAAGAGAGGAGGAGTATGATGTGATGAGATCAGCTCTTGTGTGCAGTGCTGGCTGGCTGGAGCCCCTCAGTGCCATGGTGGTTTTGGATTCAGTAGTTTTTTCAAGATCAATTCTCTACCAGAACTCAGCACACTCCATGAGCTGGGAGCCTCGTTTCTAATGCTAAAGCAGAAGATGAGGCTGCACAAATTCATTTTATCCAGTTACCCAGTAGGGTAACGTCCAGTCTGATAGATGCTTTCCCTCGCCAAGACAATTCCATTATTGGTGTTCGTTTGTGAATGCTGATGCACAACTAGATCTGAGCTGACCCAGAATTCTATCGATTTGCTCTGATTACAGTAAGTGCTAAACACGTCTTTTCATTGATGAAAATCTGAACGTGTTCTACAATCCTTTAATAAAACAGATTTCTGCTGCAGACAGAAATGACTCAAGTATGAGTCAACTTATTATTCTTCCAACACAGCAAGCTGTATTTAAATGGACAATGTTATTAAATCTGAAATGGCATCAGAAATTAAGCAAGGAAAACTAGGAAACCTGATGTTTTATTTTTCAGTTTTGTTTAAAGATCGATGGCTCACATTGCTTGAAAGAAAAATGTTGACCAGCAAAGGATGAAGAAGGGAGGTAAAATGGAGGAGGATAAGACCCAACAATCTTGAAACAATAGCTTTTTAGGAAATTAAACAATATGCTGGGGAATAGAAGTGGAAAAAAATTAATGAAAAACGATGAGGCAGTGGCACAGGTTACCCAGAGAGGTGGTGGTGCCCCATCCCTGCAGTCACCCGAGATCAGGCTGGAGGGGCTCTGACCACTGATGGAGCTGTGGGTGTCCCTGTTCAGTGCAAGGGAGTTGGACCAGATGGCATCTAAAGATCTCTTCCAACTCAAATGATTTCTATGAATTTAGGACAGGGAAAAGAACAGAATATAAAAAATGAAAAACATGTAGGTGTAAAAATGGGAAACAAAAAGAAAGGAAACAACAAAGAATTTGGAGAGAAATAGGAACAAAGCATCATAGGTTAATGCAGCTTGGAATGAACCTCTGGAAGGCTGCAATCCAACCTTCTGCTCAGAGCAGTGTCTGCTGTGGACTCAGACCACAAACTGGACCACAGGCTGACCTCCTCATAGGCACTGCTGCTACGAAGTACCCCAAAGACTTTTCTTCACCGGCAGAGCCAGACCTGTTCTTCCAGCATCTCTTTATAGGGCAAGTGCTCCAGCCCCAAGCATCTTGGTGACCTCTGCTAACCTTGCTCCAGTTTACCATTGTCTTTCCTGCACTGGAGGATCCAGAATTGTATGTAGCATTCTAGATAAGTGCTAACAAGTTCTTCTGCTTAGGTTGCTGCTGCTCAGATTGCTTCCTACCAACACCCCCAGGTCTGTTTCAGCAGAGTTGCTTCCCAGAGCTTAACTTTATTATGCACTGGTCTGTCTTACCCTGCATTCCCCTGAGTGGAAGCTGTTACTGCTAATATTTGAGAAATGGCTTTTTTTCCATTGCTATTTCCAAGATAACACCGTGGATAAGCCCCAATTAGTCCTGCACATTGTTATTCATTATTCTCTCTTCTGCAGTTTCAAATGATTCAATCATCCCAGAAGAGAAAGGAAATGGTCTCCACAGCACAGATTTATGCGGTGTCTGGGAGCCCAGGTCTCTCTAGTACTGTACTGGAAATGCTAAGTCCCAGCTAGAACCAGTGATTGAGCACCTGGTGAGAAGGCAGGGCCAACCCAAGAGAGCTCAGGTGTATGCAGTGTTCCTGAGTGACTGGAAGGGATGGAGCCAGGATCCACCCCTTCCCAGATTTCATTTAAAGCTTGGCAGTGGAGGTGAGGAGGTCTGGCTGGAGCTTCATGTGTACCTAAGGCCTTCCAAAGGTAAGTAGCTTTCTATCATATTATAGCATTGCAGGTACTCAGGAGACCTTGAGTCTTAAAGGCTGTTCGATTTAGTTCCTAGCCTTATATTACTGGCAACAGAAGAGAAATACAACTTTTCCCAGCACTGTGGATGCCCTACTTAAATTAACCTTGTAGTTTCTCTGGAGGATATAATGCACAATGAGTTGGTCCTGGTTAGTCTGTTAGCACTAATAAATGGCGTATAGAGATCAATCCGGACTTTTGCTCAAGGTATAAGTAAGTCCTAGGGTTAGAAGTGAAGGTTCCTAGGCTCTAAGCCTGGAATTAATTGCCTTGCATTGTCTCCTAGGTTAGTAAGTCTCCTAGGTTTCTGGGATGTATTCCACTTCCCAGAAGATCCAGCCCTTCATGTCATCCAAAGGATCTATATGTTCTTTCTTTTGTTTGACAGTCACATCTTTTGAAATACATGGTCTTAGTAGCATCCTTTTGAAACGAAGTCTCAAAGCTGACAAGCAGTGATTTATCACAGAACTGAAAGAGGACATACAGGTAATATTTGGTGCATCTCTCATTTTTGCTAATAGTTTTATTGGGTCTGTAGAATAGTGAAGGCAATCAGTCAGTCTGACAGCACTGTACGTGCCTCTAAGCAAAGGGAAAACCAGAGAATATGCTCGAATTTGTGAAGGTACAATGTTTAAATAATACTGACCAGCTAGAGAGTAAAGAAGAACCACACTTACTGGTTAGCTGGAAAAAAGGCTCAAACCAGAACACCTGGCAGTGATTGGCACATCTGTGGTTCCTTTTGAGAAACATTTATTCACAGATATTCCTATGATGAGTTGAGAGGTCATGTGCCAGCTATTTTTCAGATGAAGCATACAGGCCTTGATTTTTGTCTTCAATATGGGAGAATCAAGGCCCATGCATTTTGCTAGTGAGCCTTTCAAAAGGACTCTACAGTGCAGTATAGGTGGCTCTTAGCAATGCTAAAAAGATTGTACTCAGAGGGGAAAATCTCATCTTCCAAAGCACAGCTACCCCTGCATCACTATCAAATTTCCCATAAGATTTTCAAGTGCTTTATAGATACGAGTAGCCCAGACCTTCAGAACAAGACTGCCCACCTTTCCCAAAGAGATACAGGAAAAGTGCAAAGTTCTACAGAAACAAAAGTGATTTAAACTTTTTTTTTAGCATTACTCTCTAATGGTGTACCAGCCAGAGCTAACCCATGGGAAGATCATTAGATTCTTTTTCTTCTGACACTTCCCCAAGTAAGTGTTACCCTTGTTTCCATCCTTCCGGGAAAAGTTACGTAGATTCTGCTTTGAGATCCATCATGTCTTTGTCTGACGACAATTGCAATAATGTCAAGAGCCCCAGAGTACTTCAGAGCCCATCTGAATCTGCTGTGTGGTATTTTGAACACATTTAGATTGCTGTCAGACTTTGCACACCTTAATTTGAAGGTCCTTTCTTTAGGCCTTATTCATATTTATTCTGAAGTGGGTGCTTTTTTTTAAATGCAATCTTGGCATTTTTATAATACAGGCCATAGAAGCTGCTCTCTCACTGTAGCTCCATGCTGAAGAAAAGGGTGGAAATGGGCAATTTCCATACAGCTACACTGTTGTAGAAAAGAAGCTGATGTGTAATTTTACTGCAGTTAGACTTCTGTGATCTGAAGTTAGCTATATGAGAAAAAAAAGCCCAGTCTGAAAATTAAATATGCTCTTTAATGGTAAAAAGGTGATTTGAATAACATTGCATTTCTCTGAGAAGCGCACACGCTGCAGCGTTCAAATATAAAGTGCTTGAATTTGAGGCCCCGAAAGGCTAAATACTGTGGAAATGTGAAATCACCCCATCAAGAGCAGAATGTAAAAAGAAAAAAAAAACAAAACCAACAAACCCAAAGAGTTCAACCATTGATTGAACTTTATAAAGCATGACATTTTCTCACAGTGCATACACTGATGCTTATGAATAGGTGCTTGCCCAGCTGGCTAGGGAAAAACAATTCTTTCTGCTTTTCCACTTTCATTTGTTATTGACTTCAGATGTGCTCTATACTTGAACGCTCGAACTAAAGAAAACAACAAAGCTGCTTTGAACAGCTTGACCAAATGAACCTGGGGAAGAGCAGTAAGGAGCACAGCCTCCTTCCCCTCCCTCATTCTTGTTAGAGGAGAATCCCCAGATGTGGGGCCTATGATGCAGCTCATCAATGCTGTTTCCGTTTTGAGCCTCAGTGGGATAAGGCTGAGAGGTGGTGGGCCTTGTAGGATGTTCCTGTCCCTTTTTGGTGGGGAAGCCCCACATCTCAGTGAATTCAAGTCCATTCTGCTGGATAGCCTGCTGCTATGGGTTGCTGCATGTCTGTGCTGCTCCTGAGCACAGTGGGATCAAACATTGGTGATACTGCATCCTTGCCAACGCATGGAGACATTTCCATCTGTGGGCTTTGTCTTCCTCTGCTGTTCTCTTGCCAAAGCCTCATGGCAGCTTGCCAGCTCTGCTCCTAATCCTTTCATCGCACAATTCATTATGAAATAGGCTGGCCCATAGCAGCTCCATCTTCAGCCCACAAATGGATGTAGAAGTTACAACAATGAAATTCTTCACAGGAATTGACTTCAGTTATATATTTTGGTTAAGCCCATTCTCTTCTGGGAAGCCACGTTTTGATGAAAACCAGAGGGCTTTTGCACCTCGTGACATTCACCTGATTGCGGTGCAAGTTCTTCCCTGCAGAAAACTCCTGTAAGGAAAATGTGGTCTTTGGAAATGTCAAAATCAGGTTTTAATAAGTTATTATTTATAATACATAATACGTATATGCACACACTACATATATTAATGCAATATTAACAATATTAATATATATTGCTTTTTTCATTGATATTGTTTTGAATATTTCTATATTATTTTGAGGCCTGTCATAAATATTACTTAATAGACATACAGCCTGACAGTATGACATGTATGTATTCCCTTTAAACATACATTTCAAGTACAGTTACTGCTGATTTCATTGATAGACAATTGGGATTGCATTGATAGACAATGAAACGAACACATCTTCCAGAGTTTTTTCTCATTTGACCAAGCAGACAAGAGCAGCACTCTTATATCACCCAGGGAATAGTCAGCCACTCAATGATCAATCTGGAGTAACCATTGTAATGTATAGGAAAATATATTTAACAAAAACGAATGGGTTTTTAGATTTTTTTTTTTTTTTTTTTTTTTCCACTGAGTCGATTTCAAGGTTTCATCTGTTCCTCCTAACCCAGAAAGAAAACATTTCCAACAGACCCAAAGTTCTGGCAGAGTCTAATGGCCATTGGTTTTCTTTACACAGGTGGATTGTGTGTGCTTCTGACATCTGAAAATTTCCACAGTCACCTTCACAAATAGGATCTGAAGACTTTAGGTGAGCAAGATCGCATTTACATACAGTGCAGACAAGCACTGAAGGAGCACAGCATCAGACACTTCATTTTCATGCTGAACAGACAAGCTGGGAAGCAAGGCCTCAATCACACACATAAGAAAGGGCAGGAAAGGCAGGGCCTGATTTGGAGATAACTTGTTAAATTGCTAACAAGATCACCTGGGGACATTGCTGGACGTGCATCTATGTGCATTAATACATGTCTACCCTGAGGAGTAACCTCAATGTAAAGGGTAGATAGGAAACTTCTTTTGCTTGGTTTATCCTAGTTCTAAGACTTCAATAAATGAAAAAACAAAAATATAGTTAACTTGACCACTATTGCAAGCCATATTAGTCTATACTTAGGAAAACTGTATTTTTTTTTATTTAGCACCTGTACTTCCTTTGCATATTTAAGTGCATGATATGACATGTATGAAGTTTTCTGGAGATTTATCTGCCCAGATTTGACTGAATGTAACTAAACAGTGCTGAGAATTTTGGAAATATTTGAAACACCATTTTCATGGAACTCACCATAGCTGCTGCTTGAGATTACAGTCTTAAACCTATTCAGTGTGGGAAAGAAAAGCAATAACCCTCACATTGGTTGGGGGCACGTAAATACAAATACTTCCCTCTTAATAGAATTTTCCAGTTCAATGGGATGCTGGCTGAAGTTTTTTTGGAATAGTTTTGCTTTCTTGTATAGATAATAACTGAGGATGCTAATCATCGTATCCCGAAGTGATGAGGTGAAGGGAAAGGACAAAACACATTATAGATTTAAGTAGTTAATTTATTCAATTTGTATTTTTTTCAGTAGAAAGAGAACAGTCATCAGAAAATGTCAAATTGTTGTACGTTTCTATGGAAGGTTTTGAGTACTCAAACGATTGAGCAAAGATTTCTGTTTCAGAGTCAGTTTCTAAGCATGTTGGAAGGCTTTTTTCCTTTCCAAGAACAGCCAGCAGCCCAGTGCTTTGGGTCTTACCCTGCGTGTTGGGAGACGTGTTCTGACCCTGTTCCTACATGTTTTCCAAATTAATTCCAGAAGTCCAGCAGTTAAACTCTTTCTGTGGTGAACAGATTGAGACATCTGACCTGGAGCTGCCAAAGCTGGGCTTTGAGCCTGACCTGAATTTGTCACCATGCTGAGCAAGCACCCACCCATGAGCTGGTACTCGCACCAAGTTTTCTCAAAGTAACATTCAAATCATCTTTGTTTTGATTAAAAACGGAGCCCAAAGCACTAATATGATGGCAGAAGGCTATCTCAAGAAGAAATGCAAGATTTGGTAAGATGCTGGTGTGAATACTTGGCCACCAAGCATGAGCCAGCACAGAGAGCAGGGAGAGCTTTGAAATTATTCCACAGAGCAAGTAAAAGCAATTTTTTTTTTCCTTCTTTTATGACAAACAAAGCCCATTAATAATGACAAATGAAATGTGAAAACTTCTGTGACTTGCCTACGGCTGAAAACCGGGTCAGTAATTCAACTACTATAAGAATACAATGTTTATGGCTCCCAGCTGCCTCTTTGCCTCCCTAGATGGTGTTATTTGTTTCCATGGTATGCTGAAAATGCCCTGAAGTATAAAGAGGAACTTTTAAGTACTCCGTGTGATTACATAATGACAAAAAATGGGATTGTTTAGAATAATTTTGATCTGAGCCAGGGATTAAAATTATCTCCCAATTTTGCTGATAGAGTGCAGGAGTTCATCAACGTAACTTCAGTAATGGCACTGCTGCAGCTTACAAAGGGAAAACGCCATCGTTTCTGCAAAGACAAGTTAAGACAGCTTAAAGCAAATTAAAAAGCAGTGACATCTCATTTAGAACTGCTTTACCAAACCAAATTGTTATAAACACTAATATATTTTTGCATACTTAGAAATCTAGTAATTTTAGTTGGGAATTTAGCTCAAGCAATGAAAGATTAATGAGGTATTAATGCCTAATAGCTGTATACTTCTTAGAACAGCCATTCATATTCTTAAAAGCACTTACTGTTGCTGTTTATCATGTTATATTCAAGGTACAAAAGCCCAAATAGACTGGCACTTATTTCAAGAAGCTCACATCAAAGTTGGGCTCATATTTAAGACTCTTTTACAATCAGATCTTTTCTAGTTCTAGCAGAAGGAGACACGAGAGAATCCCAGCAAAAGCAAAGTGAGAAAGACCTGACTCTGACTTGTTTTTGCCCTTAAGCTGGTTGCTCCTGCTTTCCAAACTCAGTGATACTGAGTGCATCTATTTACCTCATGATAGCAAAACCAGTAAAAGGAAAATTCTGCCAAACAGGACTGCCTTTCTGAATAATCACTAATTAGCAGCATTCTGAAAATGTTTGCAGCGAGGCAGGGTTTGTGGAGGCAGCACTGAACACAGAGTACAGCACAGAATATTAATATGTGACCTGTGACAGAGATGCACTCAGGACCACTAAAAGTGTGAGAACAGGAAAATGAATGGTGAAGAAGATGACAATCATTTGAAAAATTAATTCTGGCTGAATTATTGCCTAAAGTAAAGCATCAGGAGTTCAATAAGTTCTGACTGCAGAGGAGGCGGCAGTCACTTAGGGATAAAGATGAAAATCTCAGTTTTATCGTGTCTGCTGTAAAGCACTGTGGATGGAGCTGGTTGTGATATAAAGTGTTAAGCTGAAAGGCACCCCAGCTTTTCTGGATGCGATGAGGAGGAAGGGAGCTGTGGGTATTTCATCACCCACGGGTAGCCAGAAATTACATAGGATCCTGCAGTGGATTCTCACATCTACAAAAAAGCATTGCATCTTCCTTCCCCCTTCTGTACCTACGCTGTGCACCTCCAGCATCATCTTTCTCCCTAAGAGCACTGATGTCCTCTTCATTCCTTGATCTCCTTATAATGATATATTTTCATTCTCCTGATAAAAGCAGAAATCTTGTTAACATCCTACCAGCATAACTTGAGTCCATGCCTCTATACCTCAGGCTGGGAGATGCAGAGTCTCAGCAGAACGCAGAGAGAAAACATAGAATAGCTTTCTCCTCTTTTTCTCCTCTTTTTCTCCTCTTTTTCTCCTCTTTTTCTCCTCTTTTTCTCCTCTTTTTCTCCTCTTTTTCTCCTCTTTTTCTCCTCTTTTTCTCCTCTTTTTCTCCTCTTTTTAACACTGGGGTGGCTGTATGCTCTGTCACAGCTCTTTGCTGCCATTCCTGGGGCTGAAATTTGCACCTGGCTGCTCTGAAGTCACCAATTCCTATTTAACTTTTTTCTTTTCCTGGATATTTATTTGACATCTGCATGGCTTAACTTTCTCAGGTGTTGCTAGAAATCAAATAACACCTGCCACACAAAATATATTAAACACATTCACTTTACCAGCATCGATATCTATTCTCCATACTTGCCTGACATACTCATGTGTATTTGTGGCTGTGTGTGCAAACTGTGCTGCACACCATAGGGGATCAAAATGATTTATTGCTTCTATAGACACCACGGAAAGTGGAGCTAAGGACTGAAGGTGTTGATCCATTGTTGCAAAACAAATAATATTCCAGCACTTTGGAGCCCTTCTCGCTTTCTAAGTGTGCACTTTCTTGTCTTAGCATAGATTTCTTCCGTGATTTAATAGCTTTGAGAGAAGGATACGTGTAGCTTTTATTATTAAAGCATGCTGAAAATGCAGGTCAACGCACTCAGAGCAGGAGTAGTTTGCTACTTAATGGAAGAGTGGTTCTGTTCTAAAAAGGGCACCGATGTTCTTTTTTAAAGACAAGTAGAAAGCAGGCAGCAAAGATGAATAACTATTAGAAATTCAGCATCATCTACAAGATGGTCACAACCTTCTGCCATGGTAGAGAAATAGAGGTAATTAACACCTTTAAACCCAGTGACAGTGTCAGTTTCTTTTCTTTCTCACCACTGCTTGTCTCTGAAGAGGCAAAGTAAATGTAACTGTTAGTAAAAGCCATTCCAACCTGTGTAATTAGTGGTTTGTGTTTGTTTGTTTTTAAAAAAAGAAAGCCTTTCCTAGCTCGCTGGAGGGCAAATAAATAAATACAAATCCTAGATGGACCATGGTTTGCCCTGCGTGGGTAGATGCTATAGGAAGAATGAGGGCTTTGGGGAAATTAAGTCTTTGTGCACTTTGCCACAAAGATCTATTAGTTTCTTATTGCAGAAAATACTCTCAGGAACTGTACCTCAATCTCACATTGTGTTATAAATAAGGACTGTTACTGTTCAGTAAATTTCTCCCTCTGGTGGACGGAGTACTATAAAACGATGAGCTTTGTCTAGCTGTAAAACGAAGTCTTGGAAAATCCCATTCTTTGGATATTAGTTTCTCTGAATGAGCCGTGCAGCACAAGCTGTGATTGATCTCCATAGTGCAGAGGCTTTCCCAACCATCTCCAGGAATGAAGGCCTCACCTTCCCACTCAAAATGACACATGCAAAAAAAGAAAAAAAGAGGATGTCTTTCTACTACTCAACAGTGCAAGAGTTCCTCCCCCTTTCAAGTTTTCTTTAATGTTTGTCTGAAATAAAGTCACGTTTTACTTGGGTTCTGGGAAACAACTTCAATTCTACCACCTTGTGCCAATTCAAACTGAACAGAGGGACAACGCATGGACAAGATATCTCGGATACACAACAAGACAGCTGCTCCTTCATGGCCATGTTCTTTTGCATGGAGCAAGACACCTGCTTTGAGTTGGTACGTGGGATGTATTTCAAAGTTGTCAATTGCTTGGCAGGATACATTGCTGCTATTTGGGCCATTTAACAGGCAGCTCATCATCCAGTATTTCAAAATGGGGCTATTTTGCTGGAGGCATTTGTGAAATAGCACATTTGTGCAATCAGAAGGAAATGGGGCTCATTTCAAACATCCTCATAATTCTCAGTACTTCTCTCATCAGCATAGCATCAGAGTAACTTGCCATCTCTAAGGCCAGTAGGCAGGTACATAGTTTCCTAGTGAGGTATGCTGGAGGCATATGTGACATACGTTACAGCATCTCAATGCCTTTTGCTAGCAACATTTATCTATATGTGCCCAGAGTTTCACAGAGTGAAGGTTCTGCTGCACATGCACAGATCCAACGTGTGCAGTGGAACAGTTTTGCTCCAGTGCTGTTTTGCTGGTGATAACTCACTCCCACTAAGCAAGTAGCAGTGGGTTTAGAACTGATGTTCTGGATACTGGAGCTTAATTTTCAACATATTCCTAAGAGATGTGCTCAGTGTACATCGCCATAAGTGCCATGACCTCAAAAGTAATTGCTTGGTCAACAATATAAAGTGGCTTTTCATATAAAATCTTCCCCTGAAAATATCATGGCTACCAGATGTCATTACAAACATCACTTAACGAGGTGCAGTTTTGATGTTATAGAGGAAAGGACAAAGAAGGAAAATAAGCACTCCAGTCTGGAAGAAAAGTAATCCTTTAGAAGTGGTGTCAGAAAAGAGAGGAAATGAGGATGTGAGTTACACTTTGTCCCTCTTTGAATTCTCTGTCTAGGTGAGTCTGAGTAATCAACTCTCACAACATTCATATACTCTCTGGGAGTGAATTTCAGCCTTGTGAGTTCATGCTGTGGGAAAAATGCCATAAACAAGCTCCCAGAAAAACAGGTTTTTTTCCACAGAGGGGCCAAACCATGGGGAAATGTCATAAAATGAGACGAAGATGTGGCCTGAACTCTAACAGGCAGATAATTCTCCCAAATTGTCTCTCTGTGCCATCAAACAATAACTTCAGATGCTGTTCAAATATGACAGTATTGATCAGGCCAGTGCTAATCCCCCAAAATCTGTTCTTCAATTGAATATTGCTTGACAGCTTAGTGGCACCAAGTCATTTCTCGGCAAGGGAGACTCCACAAATGACTGTTTCATTGTGGCAAGGTAAAAGATATTGAATTATTGGGTTAGTTTATGGGAAGCCAGCAAGGCTGTGGCAATCATGGAGTACCTGAAGCTATACAGTCACCTGTGCCTTCCCTTCCACCACTGTGCTTCTTCCCCAGTGCCAGACCAATAGTCCAGTCTATGCCACAGCAGTTTAGGGGGATGTCTATAGGTATTACCAGTGAACAATGCTGGTGATACAAGTGGGAATTATTCACTGTGACCTGGACCAGAGTCACAGTCGGGACAGATGGTTGACCTCACACAGCTCTCTGAAAGAGATGTGTAATGGAAGGGGCAAATTCTTGGCTCCAAGGTTCCCCCATGTCCTCTTCTACCAGCATCCATGCAAAAAGAACACAGGTCTTTGCACACTGCCACATGCAGAGCAAAGAGAGCACTGGGAGAGTAACAAGCGACAAGAAACCCAGTTTTTCACACCCAGATTAAGGAGCAGTACAGGCTTAAACTGAGACAAACCCCCATCCTCTCTCCAAG